TACATTCACGGATATCTGTATTAGCGAGATGAAAATTTCCATGATTTAAGGCTATAAATTCCATGAAAATGATACATTCATGGAAAAACATGGAAAGATAAAACACAGATCATATTTTTTACAGGGTATGGTACTGCAACATCAATCCGAACTCAAACTGATCCTAAAAGAAGGAAAATAAAGAAAAAAATTTAATAAAAAAAATAGTAAAATAAAAATTAATAAAAAAAAAGAAAAAAAAAAAGAATCTAACACTTACTATGGTACTGCAACATCAAGTTAAAACTGTTCCAAGGCTTTCAGATCATAAAAGAAGAAAAATAAAGGAAAGAAATAAATAGAAAAAAATTTAATAAAAAAAATAGTGAAAAATAAATAATAATAAAAGAAATGAAAAAGAAACTGGGCACTTACTATAGCATAAAAAATAATGATTGTTTTATTGTGTTTAAGCCCAAGTCATGTTCTAACATCATCACCATGAATATTACGTCAAGTAAAGAAAATAAGAGGCAGTAGTTATATCTATTAAATATAATTTATATCATTAATTGCATATAAATACATTATCATTATGAAAAGTGTGTAATTATATCTAATAGATCATAGAATAAAAAACATTAAAATGATACATACTTCTGCTACTACAGCATCACCACCACCTACTTCACAATCTTTTCAACATGGATTCCAATTTGTTATATTGATATGATGAACGGGATTTTGGGATTTAAATAACCAAATTCCCTCAATTTAAGATCCACTCAACATAAAGCTGATTCCTAAAAAAAAAATCCCTAAACATTAAGTAATTAAAAAATAATAATAATAAAAGAGTTCCAAATTTTAGAAGTTATTTAAAAAGAAAAAATTCACGCTGATGCTTCATCTTTTTAAATTTTTTTTGCCAAGTAGTACAAATATAAACCTCCCTTCTTGTGATACATATCGGATATCAATATTTTAATCAGGAGATTAAGTTGATCACGCTCTGTCGCTCAGTGTAAAAATATCTTTGAAAAAAACACACTTTTATAAATAAAATTCCCTTTTTTAATTTTTCAATTTTATAATGTCAGAAAAAGTAAAAAAATTTATGTTAAAAAAAATAAAAATAATAAAAAGTTTAAAATTTTACTACAAATATCATGATTAAAAATAAAATTTCAACGAGAAGTAGGTAGATGGACAAATAGGACAGACATACGCTTCGGAAAGTTGGCCGCAAGTAATTTCGTGAAACGTATTTACCACCACGAACTTTCAGTCATTTTATTGGCATTCCAGATAAAAACTTTAGAAACGGGAACTCTTAGAGCGTCCGAAGCGTTATAATCACAAAAAAAAAAAAAAAAAAAAAAAAAAACTCCTAAAAAAAATGTATTGCTGCATCATTAAATTTATCATAAATATTAAATTGTATGTTAAAAGTTAATGCCGCTGTTGCATTTATTACATATTGGCTAATTGAGTGAATCCCTAAAATTTTGGGATGTATTTCATCGATCAATTAAATAGATCGTTATGTGATACGTACTAAAGTTAAATTATTGAAGCTACTATTTCGAAAATGATGATAATCAAGATAATATATCAAATTTCAGATTTAAGTGGGTTAATTTTATAAGTATTTAATTTTTTTATTTAATAATCTTATTTATTAAAAATAAAGAAATACCAAATTTTTCTATAAAAAAAAACATAAATATATGTACTGACATGTGTAAAAAAAACATAAGCATTTTAAGATTTCTAAATTATTCATTCTTTACTCTTTAGTTTTTGAATAAAAGAAGGAATAATTCTTTTTAAAACAAAACTAATTGATATAAATATAACCACGAATTCCACCAATAAGTCCAAGAACGATACTTAACCAAGCTCCATAAACGTAATAATTATTTCCATCTTAGATTCAGCAGGAAACCATTCATTTAAAAATTCTTCGTAAAACACCTTCATTACTATGTAAAATATATTCAATTGAATCGGTAGCTCTAAACTTTCTCTTGCTATTAATTTTAGCTAAAAATTCCAATCTCTGAATTTTTATTTTCTTTATATTCTTATCTTTTAATAAAAAAATCTATCTTGTTTATAATATCACTAACATCCAAGTTAAACTTATCCAATGTTAATGTAACAACCAGCTCTGATATATCTAATTCTTAAATATAATTTTATAACTTTATTTATAAAAAAAAATTATTAGTAATCTGAATAATTTATCATTTGGAACCTGCTAGAAATCAAATAAATCTGCTTGGCAAAAGATTTTAAAATTCTCATGACTCTTTTATTTGTTGCAAAAATTATGATTCCTTTTTATAGAATTTCATTACCTGAAAAAATTGTCATTTAAATATGCATTTGATGATCCTATTGTTCTTTACATTTTTACGTAATCCTTTTAGAAGTCTAGAACAAACTTATGGAAACTCTTTATCGTAGCTTGTTAAAATGTGAAAAGGAATACACATGACTGACCGGCATTATTGCGTTAAGAAATTAAACGCGAGTCGGCGAGTGACAAATATGATTTCACACCTTGTAAAAACGAATACTTATGAAAATGAGAAGCGCGAAATAGTAACGCCTAGTAAAACACGTGGTAAAATTCTGGGGAAAGAATCAATTGATCCGTACCACTCGGAATATCGCCAAAACATTTTGATCAAATTAATAATTAATAAACTCATTATCTTATTCATATTTACCGAAAAAATATTTTATTTTACTTTATTGAATTTTATTACTTTGTTTTGTTTTATTTATTTAATCTTTTTTTTTTTCTTGTGGTAAACTATTTTATCTTATTTTATTTTATTTATTTTATTATTTATTTATTTATTTAATCAATTTTTTTTTATTATATATATTAATGTTATTAATGTTAATATTTGTTAATATTCAAAGTTCAAACTCACAGCTGTGGAACATATTCAAAAATCAATATTGTAATCAATTTATAATTGGATAGTAAGAGTTTACTAAAATATTTTAAAAGATTTCTTGGCATTTGCGCTTCAATGGTTTACTACAGGTATAGTTAATGATGTAATTGATATCAATGAATCAAAGATTTTTTTTGCAAAAGAACGATTATATTGGTTAAACTGTGAGATACTGTAGTTTTTTAAAATAGTAGAGAATTTTTAAAAGAAATAAAATTCAAATAAAATAATAATTATCCCAAAAAAAAAACATTTTTACAAGCACATTAACCTATCTCTTCCCTAATTTAACTCCACGATTCCTTCTACTTTGTATGTCGAATATGTCAAATGATCTCGACTTGAGATCTGGGAAGTTTCAACAGTTCCTGTCCATCATACCATTTGGAATATTTATTTTATAGAATGTTATTTTTTATTTTTTAAATTTTATTTTTTTTCATATGCTTGATAATTAAGTAATTGTATTATATGTTGTTTTATAGTTTGTAATGTAATTAAGATATTATATCATATAAAACACTTGCAATGTTTTAACAATACAGTATAATAAATATTTTATATGATTACTGCTTAAAACGTAATAAATTCCTGTAGTAATTATGCAAAAATTTTTAGTTTCATATTTTTTAAAACACAACGATTAGAGATATTGTAATTACAGTCACGTGTTATTGAAATACTATGATTTTTATTTCACAAATTTTACGTGATCAACATGCAAATAAATCACCTGATCTATTCTAAAACTTATTTGACACTGAAACATTAACAAATTAATTAGTACTTATGTGAATAAGTTGTTTTACCGCTCCCCTTTAATAAAAAAAAATTGACAATAATATCTTAGCTCATACAATATAAATTATAAATCATCAGAAAACTTTCAAATTACTTTAAATTCGTACATGTGAACCTAATAAAGTAGTTTATAATAAATAATTTGATTTTAATTATTATTTTTTTTTCGATTGAACAAACTTCAAACATTATTAAGATTTTAGTAATTGAATTCCGAACATAAAATATTCAGTTACAAGTATTACGGTCAATACTATAGTAAATTTTCTTGTAAAAAAAATATTTAAATCTCATTGTCTCAAATTATTCCTTTAATATCACATGCTTATCAAAGAAACGAAATTGATTAATGGTATTTGGGCAGATAGTTAAAGAATTCTTACATAAAGTAAAATTTATAAAATCTATATAATTTATATAATCTATATGAAACTTTTTAAATCCTGAATTCATGATAATGAATTAAATAGCAATGTTTCATTATTTAGGAATATAAAATCATTAATTAATTCAATAAAAGAGGATATAACAAAAATTGTTATATAATTTTATTATATGATCTACAGGCAACTTCCTTTTAAAGAAATCTCCTCTTTAGATGATTTGTATCACTGTCTTCTTTTTAAAAATGTATACATTTACCAAAAAAATTGTTAATGTGCCCAACTTGATTTTTGATTTCACCCTAGTGTACAACATAAAAAGTTGATTACTACCCTCGCTCATTAAGCTCATACTTGACAGTGTGATTAATCCTGTACTAACAAAACTTGATTTACTCACTTTACCAAAAGCTCCTCTACCAATTTCACCATTTGAATAAATTTATCATATTCAAAATAAAAAATATATACATCCTTTACCTTTTTCTCAATATAGAAGTTATTTTATCATAAATTTTAGTTTTACTTACGAAAAAAATTTATTTAATTGCAATACACAACTTTTTAATTACATAATACTCCCATATTTTAAAATATTTTATTTTATTTTATTTCGTCATTTGATCTTACCTATTATAGAAAATTTAAATAAAAACCCTTGTTTGCCAAAATTGGATAAATTTAATTGCCGATCAGATTATTTGTTCCTTTGTGTATTTTAACTAGTCTTGTTTCACGATTTTGTTGCCGATCACCACTTTTTTTTATTTTTTTTTTCTTTTCCTTTATTATTTTTACATACGGATTGATAACATATTTTTGTTTAAAAACTTATTTATTAAAATGGATGAAATTAAACTAAGTGATGATATATTTGAACAAATAAAAGATTTTGACTATGAGTATTTAACTGAAGAACAAGAATCGTTAATTGATAAACTAATAACAGACGAAGAATTAAATGAACGTTATAGAGAAAATGGTTTATGTAAACTTTGTAAGCAGCCTAAAACTAATTTTAATTATTGTTGGTCATGTAATTCACAACATTTTCAACAAAATTTCAAAAATTGGACAAGTGGAAATCATGTTGTTGATGAATTTATTCAAAAAGCACAATTAAAAGCTGAATGGGACAATCAAATCATAGAGTGGATTGAATATGATAAATTTGAAGATGTTGAATATTTAGCAAAAGGGGGATTTGGAACTACTTTTAAAGCAGTTTGGAAAGATGGTCCTTGGGAATTTTATTATAACTATGAACAATTGGAAAGAAAAGGTGAAACAAAAGTCGCTTTAAAGTGCTTACATAATTCCCAAGATATTACAGCAGATTTTTTAAAAGAAGTAAGCTATTTTTTACTGATTTTAGTATTATTAGCCTTTATAAATGTTAAACTAACTATAATTTTCTTTTAAGGTTGAATCAAATATTTTAGTATATAGTTATTTTACAGTTCGTTGTTTTGGTATTACCAAAGATCCAAAAACAAATAATTTTATAATGGTGATGGATTTAAAAAAGGGTAGCTTAAGACAACATTTAAATAACAACTTCATTTCAATGAATTGGAGGGAAAAGTTGCTTAATTTATATTATATTGCATTTGGTCTTGAAGTTATTCATAATAAAGGATTAATTCATAATGATTTTCATTGTGGAAATATGTTAAGCGATTTTAATGAAAAAGCTTATATTACTGACTTGGGATTATGCCAACCAGCAAATGTCAAATCCTCTCAAAATACTCAAAATAGTAATAAAAAAATATATGGAGTATTACCTTATGTAGCTCCAGAAGTTTTAAGAGGAAAAGAATATACTCAACAAAGTGATATTTATGGATTTGGAATTATTGCATATGAAATTTGTACAGGTTTCCCTCCTTATTATGATATAGCTCATGATGAATACTTAGCAATGAAAATTTGTAATGGGTTGAGGCCAAAGTCTAATTATAAAATTCCTCAATTAATTTTTGACATTATTAATCAATGTTGGGATGCAGACCCTTTAAAACGACCTAATGCAAATGAATTACAGGTTTTATTATTGAAATTATATTTTGGTATTGAGAGCAATAAAGTGGATTCTGTAATTTATGGGCAAGTTAAAGAGGCAGATGAAATTAATAAAAAGTCATCTATTCCAATTCAATTGCCATTATCATCTACAAGTACACTCTCATATTTGACACATCCTCAAGCAGTTTATACAAGTAGAATTTTAGATTTTAAAAATCTTCCAGAACCAAAAAATGCTGATAGTAATGATGATTTAATTGGAATAGAATATTCAGGTAAATTATATGAATTTAATTTGTTTTATTAAATCGTATTTTTGATACAATATTTATTTCTGGCTTTTTATATACATTAGAATCAATAAAAGTTGATTTTACTAAACTCAATATCAATTCCGAAGATTGTAATTAAATTCTTTGTTTACATAGTAGTTAATAAAATATTAAAATAATGTAAAAGCAAAATTTTGTTTATTATCAAATTTAACCTTATATTGTATTTTATACTTATTAAAATTTATATGTTTAAAAAATTATCTTAATATACTATATTTACATATTTATTATACATTAAAGGAAATATATTAACTTACTTTTCTGGAATCCTCTATTAAAAACTTAAGAGAAAAAAGAATGATTTCTCTATTTTTTATCGTCATTACACATAAGTAATTTTTTTTTAAAAAATATTGATTATTTATTGAAGTTTTTTTTTTTTTAATTAACAAATATATCTTTATTTTTTAATAAATAAAAAATTAACTAAATAATCGCAAATATGTGCTGAAACTTATCTGACAATAGCTTATATAATACCATATTATAATATTTTGTTAAGTAGATTAGAAGATTTTTGGGATTCACCTGGTACGTTGCAAAAAGGGAAAAGTGATTAAATTATATTTGATTTTTAAATTCTTATATTAAATTATATTTTTATAATATAAGAAGCAGCAAGTAATGTAATTAGTAAACTGCTAGAATATTATGATAAAGCTGATACATCTATATATACTATTTCTTTAGGTAAGTTGTTAATTGTAAATCGTTAAAATATAAATTTAATTTTAAAATTATAATATTTTTATTTTTAATAGTTCTAGATCCATGTCTTAAATTCAATACATGAAAGATCAAAAATGGGATAAGCGATGGATTTAATCAGCAAGGAAAAAAGTATTAATTTAATTTGTTTTTTTTTTGTATTTTAAATTTTATTTTATTTTCATTATACTTTTTATTTCAATAGGTGCTTGAAATTTACAAGGGAAAATATACACCAATAGAAATTAAGAACATTAACAATAAATATGACTCATCTGATGAGGATCTATCTTATTACTTGTATTTCCAAATGACAACGTGTTGAAAAATCAAATGAATTTGAAACATTTATCAAAGGGGATCGTGCCACTATCATTTGTTTATTTAAAATTAGAATATTATTATATTTTTATTTTATTAATATTTAATAGCAACACAAAGAAGAGTTTCCAAATCTAGCAAATATGGCAAAGGATTATTTAGGAATCCCAGGTATATTTTTCTGTTCTATTTTATTATCATTAAGTATTATTATTATTATTATTATTATTTTTAAATAGTAATGTGCTTTATTAATTTTATGCGATCCAAAGATCAAAATTAAATACAAAAGCACTTAGAGCTAAGAAAGAAAATACTTTCAAAACCCCATAACTAAGTATTCGGATCTAAAATTAATTAAAATTCTAACTAAAAAAAAAAAATTGTGTTAAATCTAAAATTAATATTGTTTGTTTCTAATCTACATTACTAAACTAATTTTACTATATTTTTGTGGTTTTTAATGTTTTATAATACAAACTTTTACATATTAACATATTGTATACGTAAACAGTGTAACCAGGATGTATTTATTGTGAAGATTTTCAATATATAATTTCGCGAAACCTTTTTCCATACAATGGTAAAATGGCAATATTGAAAAAAAAAAAATGCTTATTCAAACAATCCGAACAATATTAGTTTTGGCATACGTGATTACCTAATATGTTAAAGAAACAAAGTAAAAAAAGGAAAGAAAAAAGAAAAGGCTAACGAATACTTTTCGTTAGCCACGTGAGCTCGCTCAAATCTCCAACGGAATTCTCTAACGGAATTCTCTAATGGACGAACTTTTCAACAAATAATCATTCTGGTTAACATGTGCGTAATGTGACATAGTGTCATAAATACTTACTTCTTATGATTTTCATAAATTAATTAAGAAATACATTCATTTTATACACTGATTATAATAACGAGGGATTAAGAATTTTTTTTTTTTCTTAAAAAAAAAAAAATAAATCTCGTTACAATAATAAAAAAAGGAATATTAATTATATTATACATAATAGATAAAATAATTTACATTATTTTATTACAAGCTAGTATAGTAAAAAAACACAATTAGCCCAATTACGCTTACGGACCGTTTCTCGACAGGACATTTTCCCGATTGTCTAACACTGGCCGTTTGATCACGTGTATGCATAACTCTGCATAACTCTGACCAAACCTGTCTGTCAAATTCCCTGTCACCGTCGGGTAATAATAACATTTGATTTCATATATCACTTATGTTCAATTCTAATAATTTAAATAATTCAAATTTCGAAATCGTTATTCTAATTTCGTGAATCCGTAAAATACACAAAATCTGATTGACAAATATTTCAAATATTGTTGAAAATCTCTCACTTTCTACCTTTCGTATTTAAAAACCATTCGTACATTCGGATTAATAAGATTTAAATTTGATTTTTATAAATAAAATAAAATGATTTTTCTTTCTTTTAAAATTTTAAGTACTGAAATAACTTATTATAATTAAAAAAAGAAAAATTCTTAATAAACTTATTTTTAATAAAGTTAGAATTATGAAACACTATACTAAATATGCTTGCAGTATATATAACATGTCACTTAAAAAATATTTAAATTCGCATTTATTTATTTATTTATTTATTTATTTATTTATTTATTTGTTTAGATTACATATCTTTAGCATAAGTTTTCAGCAATATAAAATAATTGTACATTTTGTTTCATTTTTAAAATTAAGAGATATTGCATGATTTGATCTAACTAAAATATTTCATTATACTATATTTAAAGTTTCAGCAATTGAATTTATTTTCGGAAGAATTTTTTCTGTCAAAAGCAATGCTTCTTTTCTCCATTCAGGTTTATCATCCTCAAGTTTACCCATTATAGGTTCTACAACTATTTTCAATATAATATCAAACCATTTCTTAGCTTCTTCAAACAACTTGAGTTTTGAATTGATCATTATAATATCAAAGATTATTATACGAATTTCACTCACACGAACTGATTTATATAAATCATATGCCTCTTTCAAAATAGATAGAGCCTTTTTATTATTTCCAATTTCAAGGTAAGCAAATGCCAGGGTTTTGCTAAGTTTTATTGTATTGAATCCTAGATCTGGATGTTCTTTTCGAAGATTACGTAATTCAGCAATTATATTTTCTAATTCTTTAATATGAGAAAGTTCAACACTATGTGATTTTGATACTTTAGGATAAATTGATTCATGATAAGCTTTCAAGAGTTGTGCCATTCTAAGTTTAATTTCTTGTGATTCAGATCTCTCCAACTTGCACATTCTACATTGGCAATCTACGTTAATATATTCAAGATAACTTAATCGTTCCTCATAGCTAAAGGTAGCATCTCTGTAATTAATAACTAGCTCTTCACCTTTTGAAATAGGCCGATTAGTTCGAACGAATAACAAATCACCAAGATGAAAACTGTATGTATTTTCATCAATACATGCATGATTAAAAAAAGATGGCAAGATCCACAGTCCTAAACCGGTTATTTCATTATTAAGATTAAATTTTTCATAATTTAAACCAAAAATATTGTGCACAAGAGCACATATAATAAATTCAATATGTATTGTACTTTTCCCGATTATTTTATTTTTTTCATCTCTACTAAGATTTAAACCATCATAAAGTTGATACACTTCCGGACAATAATAAGGTTCTTCAAAAAGTTTCCGAGTAATACATGTAGTTAATTCTTCAGCACACGAACATGCACCTTTATTATTGGTTATCATAGTTCCAAAAGCTTCATTACTAAAAACTACTTTAAATGCTTTAGAGACCATCAGCAAAGTACATTCAGGAATGTCACATTTAGCGATCCAACCTCTTCCTTTTCCTTCTACAAGGTCAACTTTAATATTGTCATTTCAAAATTCAGCATGATCCAATCTTGGACCTGTTTCATAAATCCAAACATCATTACCCTTATTATCCTTTTTAATTTTAGACCTCTCATAGAATTCATCAACGATACGTAAATAATCATATTTCCCATTTTTATTTTCATAAGACAACATTTCTGTATGTTCCAAAATTTGTTTAATTGAAGTATTACCTTTCATTCTTTGATATAAATTTTGAAGTATATTAGTGGCATCCTTATAATGTTTGAGACCACAAAGAGCTTTACCCTTGCGATAAGCTGCTTTTAAATTATTGGGATCATACTTAAGAGCAATTTCTGTATCCTTAAAAGCATTATGAAATTGATACAATCGAAGGTAAGCTTCTGCTCGGTTATTAAGTAAAGTGACATTTTGTGGCTCCAATTTGATGCCATTTGAATATTTATCAATAGCTGTAATATAATTACTTGAAGCAAAATAATCATTCCCACAACGACGGAAATCATTGGCATTCTTTATCTCGACTTTCTTTTCATTCGTGGACCATTTCACGTCATCAAACAACTTGTTATTATGATCGACGACGATGACATCATCAGGGTTATTAGAACGAATTATGGTTATATTACTAGTGGCAACTTCATAAGATATATTCTTGATGACAAGTAGAGTTCCAATTGGTAAAAATAATTGATCGATAGGTTTAATATTTGATTGACCTTCTTTAGGAAAATTTGTCCAATTATACAAAGCAAGTCTTTCAACATTACCCTCTGGATCTTCCACAAGAGCTAAAAGGGAAAATAATTTTACGAATTTGGAAATCACTCGACATAATAAGAATCTTCCAGTGGGTACATTATCAACTTTTAAATTTGATATTGATATCCGAAGTTGAATGTTTAGAGTTAAATTCTCTTGTTTATTGATATTATGAACAACATATTTATTCTTATCACATGAAATATCTAGTCTTTTATGTTCATCAACTAATTGTTCTCTGCTTTTTCTTTGAGAAAAATTATCAACAGTAGAACGTAAAATAGCATTTTGCACAATTTCAAGTGTATCTATTGTTCTGGTTACAGTTTGATATTTCATGTTTGTCGTGTTTAATATAATATGTATGTATTTTTTTTTTTTTTATGGTTAAGAAAATAACAAATGAAGAAGAATAAAAAATTTTCCTTTTTTTTTCTTATCAATTCAATAATCAATATTTAAGCTAACCCCTTATAATGAACAAATTATTATGTCATTATTAGCTAATCATATTATTATTTAAAGGAGATAAAAGCTGATCCTGAGAAAAATCATGCATGATGCAATTGATGCCTTTAAGGCTGTAATACTTTTTTTACTCGTGAATTCATTGAACCAATCATTTAAAATCATTTAAAAATTATTTAAAATAATCACTAACTAGCTTATTTCATTATTTTTATATACCGATTAAAACATGTTCAATTTTCTTTTCTCTCATTAATAATAGCGTAACTTTTCTTCAAAAATTTTCTTCAGTCTTCTACTTCCTAAATTCATGTAGAGCCATATAACAATGTAATCAAAAAACTTTTTATTACATTATACAATATATTATGCAATGACATTATTAATGATTATGATGATTATTATGTTATTTGTAACATTGGTATCAAATTTTTTTTTTAACTTTAAAATTTAAATCATCCTGAAACTTGATGAATAAACATTAAGAATTATTGATTAATGAACAAAGAAAATTTCATTTTTTAAAAATATGTTTTTGTTTACTATATACTTACGTAAAACTTAATTCAAAATAAGTCGTTTGCGCAGATTATTTACGTATTAATAAAGGCAAAATAAAATCATTTTTTTTATTAAAAACAAAGGTTAGTAAAATTATCTTTTTCATCAATTAAAAATTACCGAATTGACTTGTAAAAAATATCAAATTAAAAGATCAAAATATTAATCAATTATTATTAATAGACGACATAAAGTTATAAGTGTACCGTTTGAACGAAAAGTGCCAAAATTTCGAAAAATTGATTTTTCGAATTTTTGAATTTTAAAATCTCCTTATAAGGAGATTCTCCTTATAAGGAAAATCTCCTTTTATGGCAATGTAACGTTACACAAATGTCCAAATAAGGAAGTTGGTGTTACCAAATTTCCTTTTTTGGACGTTTTGTGTAACGTAGATCTATCCTATAAAAGGAAAATTTCCTTATAAGGCGATTTTAAAAGTTCAAAATTTCAAAATTTCGAAATTTCAAAAAAAAATTACCATAAAAGGAAATTTTTTTAAAGATTTTTGAAATTTCGAAATTTCGAAATTTTGAATTTGAAAATCGCCTTTTAAGGAAATTTTCCTTTTATGTAAGGGATCTACGTAACACAATATTTAATTTATAGTGCCAGCCAGAATTATAATCTCCTTATAAAGAAATTTTGTTTAAAAATATTTTTTTAACAAATCTGGTGGCTAAACTATTTACCCGAATTCCGAAATCATGTGTTAATATTTATTTTTACCAAAAATTGGAGTAATCCTGGCCGGATTAGCATAGCGGACATCCCTATTTTATCACAATTTTGCCGATCATTTGCCGATCATTTGTTGATCACTATTTTATCATATCACATTTAATATTAGATTTTTTTTAAAGTTAATCTCAGTTATCTCAGCATCCAGTGATCAGAATTTTATGATTTTTAGCTTATTAGAAAGCTTAGGACTTGATGAATCCGATCATCTTTATTTTACAAAATTTGGAGTTATATATCTTGAGATATTTGCATTCGGAATCTTCTAATTATTTTATTATATAATTTATCTTATTAGTTGGAGTAATTATACAATTATAATTCATTAATTTTCATTAATCAAAATAAAATATTAATTTTTATTATTAAAAAATTTCAATAAAGTGACTTTTGCAATTTAATAAAAATTATTATATTAATACTAATTATATATCATTATAATTTAACCATTGTTGATACATTATATCATATTGATTTTCTACATCACATTCTGTTCTTTCTAATATGTTTTCAATATTCTCTTCTTCATCATTTTCATCATCATTATTATTTTCCTTTTCAAATAAAGGGATTTCATTTTCTTTTAATGATGTCGACAATCTTTGATCCAAACTCTTAATATTTTTCTCAATTCCAGATGATAAATAATCAAAACAAAAATTACATTTATCATCATATAAAGTACTTAAACATTCTTTATGAAAACTGTGTCCACAAAGTAAAACAATTCCATTAGATAAATCTATACTATTTGATAATAAACAATTATTTGCATCACAAAATTTATCATCTGCTGGTATTTTTTGTGTATTCCAGCCTAAAGGAAGTACCTTTACATCCACTTCAATATCAAAACTTGGAAGATAAAATTTTGGATATCTATCATTATTAATTTGTTTTGTATTTCCTATATTCTGATGAATCTTATCAAATATTGAGAATAAAAATAATGAAACCTTTTTTTCTAAAGATTTTAATTCTTTAATTTGAGACTTAGCTGGATTTCTCAAATTAACAAAAGAATTTTTAAAAGGATTATTATTTCTTTCAGCATCAATAATTTTTGCTTTTTGTATAATTTGTAACTCTGAATTTGATTCTGCTGTTTGATGCCTTAAAGAGCTATGAAAATTTTCAACAAAATAATCATTAAAAATTGGTAAATTATTTTTTAAAATATTAATTATTGGATGATTTTTTGAAGTCCAATAAAATACATCACTTAAAAACATAAGTGGTGCTTTATTATAATTATGTCTTCTCAATCTTTGAAATAATATCCAAATTTTTACAGTACTTTCTAAATATCCTTCAAAAAATCCACTTCTAAAAAGTATTGCATATATATCCAAAGTAAGTGGAATAGAATTATCTAATAAATCTATCATCATTTGATATTCTGCATCTTTTAAATTTCCAAATCTTTTTGTAACAATATCACGAATATTTTTCCATCCATGATAAGTTAAATGTAAAATAAGATTGATTACTGTTTGTTTTGGTTTTTGAGATAATATTTTTTTATCTCCAAATAAGTTATGATATAGCATCTCAAAAAAGAAATGATATGTTTGAAATAGTATTTCTCTGCTGTTTAAAGAGACATGAAGTGGACCTATCATAGGAATTAAATTTAACACTTGCTCTGGAACTCCAGAATTAATGCCTTTCTTAATTCTAAGTGTTATAGCTCTTCTTATATTTACTTGTCCTGGCCAATCAGCAATTACAGGAATGATAAAATTATTTAAATAATTTTCTTCAATATTTTCTAATCTTTCAAATGCTTTAAATACATAATCTAAACATTCAATATAATCCTTAGTACTATGTAAAGGATGCAAAATAAAGTCTACTAATTTGCTATTAGACATTGATCTTAATTCATGGTAATTTTGAATTCTACCATCATAATTATGAATATTAAGTAGTTCAACTCTATTTTCATAAGAATCTTCAATTAAAAAATTTTTCCATAATTCTTTTTGCATATAATAACTTTTACCTAATTGATTCATAAAATTATTTTTAATGTTATTAATAATTAATCCAGAATCAATTCCTTTAGGATTATGTATTGAAAAATTATTTAATGAATAAAATGGTATTTTTGGAATTTTAGTATTTGTATTCAATAATATTGTTACAAAATGATAAATATTGTGAGTTTGTAACAATGTTGGTTGATTACGCCTATGAATATTATGGTAATCATCTATATTAAGAATAAACATATTTTCTATATTTTGTAAACAATAATTATCTACAGTTTGTTGGTGTTCATTTGAAATAAAATTTTTTTTACGATTTACTGTTTTTCTTGTTACTGAAACTCCTATATTTGCCAATGTATCAATAGAAGAAGAAGAAGCTCCAGAAGTTTCCAAGTATGATCCAATATCAACTTTAATTCCATTAATATATTTATTATTAATGCTAGCTAAAAAATAACATAAAGAAACTAATTTTTTTTTGTTGTTATTATTTGTTGTTTCAGATTTAGTATTAGGATTAGTTCCAGCATATAATTCATCAAAAAATCCAATTAAATCTTTATCAGCTGTTTCTAACATAGTTTTAAAAGCTATTGGATCATAAATAGGTTTAAGATTTAATCTATGTTGATTATTATAAAGAATATTAGACATTTTTATTATTTTACTACTTAATTTAATTTCACTTGAAATTTTTAATTGTGTCATAATTTCTTGATAATCTGATTCAAATTGTTGTAATTCTTCTCCAGTATATAAGATATCTTTTCTAAATAAATAAGTATGATTTCCTATTTTTGATATATTGTCATTATTATTTTTTCTAGAAATTGGTGCTTTATATTCTTCAGTTTGTAAATATTGAGAATCTTTATCAGTTTTTTTTTTACACATACTGCAAATCATTGCAAGTTCATCTAATTCTAATACTTTAATTAATCTTGTTGGAACTTTTTGAAGACTAAATTGTTTGCTTGTATTTTTTGATTGATTTAAGTATTCATCATGTTTTGGATGTTGACAAGTTTTTATTTGTTTAGTTTCTATTGATTCATTTTGTATAACTTCTATTGATTCATTTTGTATAACTTCTATTGATTCATCTTGTATAGCCTCTATTAGTTCATCTTGTATAGTTTCTATTGATTCATCTTGTAAATTATCATTATCATTTAAATTGTTTTTTTTAATTGGAATAGGTGCTTTGTATTTTTCATTTTGTAAATATTCAGAATCTTTATCAGTTTTATTTCTACACATACTACAAATTTCTGAAGATTCATTTAATTCTAAAACTTCAATTAATCTTTTTGGAACCTTTTTAAGATTAAGTTTGCTTGATTTTTTTTTTGTATTTTTTGATTGATTTTTATATTCATCATGTTTTGGATGCTCACAACTCTTATTATAATTAATATTTCTAGTTTCATTTAAAATAAATTGATTGTAATGTATTTGGCATAAATACATTCCAACTGAAATAATTAATTCAGTAGATTTTGGTATTTTAGTGTTATAAGTGATTGGCTTTATTCTTCCATTACATTCAATGGAATCAAAATTGCAAATATTTGAAAAAGTAGAAGTGTTATCCATTTTTTATAATTAAAAATTATGAAAGTATTTAAAAAAATATTGTTTTTTTATTTTAAATTGGATTGGATTTTCTAATTTTGCTAAAGCAATTTTTTTGTCTATTTATAAAAAAACTGATTAAATATAACACATAGAAAACTTTTAAAATAATTAATTTTATCTTATATTTTTAAAATAGTAAACAAAAATAAATTTTAGAAAATATATAAAGTTTTAAAATCAAATAATCATATATTACTTAAAATTGACTAAATATAACATATAAGTAAGTTTTGGTTTCAAGCGAATTAGGATGCCATTTTTTTACCATATATTTCTAAATGGTTAACAAATATATAATGAAAATTTCAAAGTTGGCTTAAAAGTCTGTGGCTTTGTACAAAACTTTGAAGTCTAAAAATTGCAAATTTATTAAAATTGACTAAATATAGTATATAGGTAACTTTTGGTTTCAAGCGAATTAGGATGCCATTTTTTCACCATATATTTCTAAATGGTTAACAAATATATGATGAAAATTTCAGAGTTGGCTTAAAAGTCTGTGGCTTTGTACAAAGTTTTAAAGTCTAAAAATAGTAAATTTCCTAATTAAATACTAAAAATTTATATATAAAATTAATAAATATCAATTTTAGTAATGAAAAAGGTTTATTATTTTATTCTATATCGTTAAAAAACTTAAATTTATCAATTTTTATAGCCCGGCCGAATGTATATCGGTGTAGCCAAGCCAGATCGGCCGATTTTATATAATGTGATAATTCATAATAGAAATACAAAATCGTGAATATCTTGGCATCTAGTGATCCAAAATTAATGAAAATACCACCATTTGACTCGTCTCGATGAGGCGAATCCAATGAGCACAACTTTATCAAAATTGGATGACTGAATTTCGAGATATTGTTTATTGAAGTTTGAAAAATATATATGATCAGCAAAATGATCGGCATGGTGATATAAGCATGTCCGCTATGCTTAAAAAAGTACAGTACAATAAAACAAACAAATTATTATTTTATTTATATATGATTATCTAAGATTTTTTTATCAAATAAAAAACAAAAGACATAATTATAATTGTTCAAGATCTTTGTTTCGTTTGGAGTCATACTAAAATGATTTACGAAAAATATTAATAAACTATTAAAAAAAAATAATAAAACAGATTAATTTTTATTTAAATATGAGAATCTTTTCCAAATGATTATCTAAGTTTTTTTATTAATAAATTAAAATGACCAAATAATTATCTAAGATTTTTTTTATTAAATAATCATAATTACAATTGTTCAAGACCTTTTTTCGTACTAAAATGATCAACATACATTCACGAAAGGTTTTTTTTTAAATAATCTAAATAATTAAAAAAAAAAAATAATACAATATAATAAATAATTAATTATATATTAAAATAAAAAAATTTTCCATTGAACAATTTAGAACGCCCTGTCAGGGACCAAGGCAACTTGCTAATAAAATACGTTACTAATTTAAAAAAAAAAAAAAAGATTTTTTATCTTAGTCAACATAAACAAATCCTTTTATAAACCTAATAAAGTAATTATATTAATTATTATTAATTTAAAAAATTAGAGTTCTCTTTTGCTTTACGTTTACCGTTTACTTGTTATTCTATTAAAATTTTTCAGTGTAAATTTAAAGAGCATTTTTTCTTTCCCATGCGAAAATGTTGATCATTTGTAATACTTACACGAACCAATCATCCGGATGCAGACATGTCACAAATGTTGGTTATTGGTAAATTGCTAATTACTTGTTTACTACAGTATGTGGGGGCGCGCCAAGCAATAGGCACAGCATTCACTTTGACAACAAATACCTATGTAAATACTCCGTAAACTTTGATTCTTATTAAATTCTCTCTTGCAGTGGTAGGAATAAATGATTTTAAGGCATAAGGTCTCATTTAGCGAGAATGTTCGACATCAGTCGGTCAGAAAAAAACTAGCAGAAAAAATAAGCTGCTTTACTAATAGATATATAAATTTGTTCAAAAAAAATAAACCCAAGCCAATTAAAGATAAAACAGTTCCAAATCTAACGCAATATAATGATTATGATTATATAACGCAATATTATGATTATTATCCGCTACTATCAACATCAAGACTATTACAATCACCTAGTTCACAATATCCTCCTCCTTCAACATCATTTCATCTTCCACCAACAACTCGCCAAACATATACATGCATATCACCTTCTTCACCATTTCCTCTTCCACCAAGACCATGCCAAACATATACATGCAATCCACCTTCTTCAACACAACTTCCTCCACCACCACCGTGGGATAAGCGAGAGATAAATGATGAAAACTATCCACAATCACAAAAATTTTCATTAGGGTGGTGTATAGAATGCGGAAAGCCATTTAGCGGAATGAAATGGTGTCGTCCTTGTAATGCTGCTCATTTTTATAGTCAAACTTCAGAATGGACAAGCTGGCGACTAGGTTTAGATAATTTAATCATCAAAACACAAATTACTGCAAATAATGTTCATAGCTTTTTTGAATGGATTCCTTTCGAAAATTTTGATCAAGTTACATATTTGGCAAAAGGTGGATATAGTGTTGCTCATAAAGCTATATGGAAACAGGGTCCAATTACCTATTGGGATACTAATACTAATAACTGGGAACGCTTCGGTGGTCATGAAGTAGTATTAAAAGTAATAAAAGGATCTCAAAAAAATTTAGATGAATTTATTAATGAGGTAAATATTAGAATTAATTTACTTCTGGGGATTTTCTTATTCTTAATTAAATAGTAATTTTTTTATAATTTTGTCATATAGCTTTCAGCTCACCATAAATTTAGTAAAAAAATTGGGCATGTACTGCGTTGTTTTGGAGTTTCACGTTGGGAAGACACGGGAGATTTTATTGTTGTAACATCTTATGCTAAAGATGGAAATTTACGACAATACATTCGTAAAAAGGTTGGAAATTTTCCCTGGATTGAACGGTTAATTACGCTTAAAGACATTGCTAAGGGTCTAGAAATTATTCATAACTCTGGGTACGTTCATCGTGATTTACATACAGGTAATATTTTAAGACACGGAAGTTGGACAATGATAAGTGATCTTGGACTTACATGGAGTCAAGATTCTGTATCAACAGATGAACTATTTGGTGTATTAGAATATATGGCACCTGAAATTCTATCTGGTGGTCAATATTCTTCAGCGTCTGATATTTATAGTTTTGCAATGATCATGTATGAAATTGCAAGTGGAAAAATCCCATTTCACCATGAGGAAATCAATCCTAGTAACATTATTCAGGGATATCGATCCGAAATCACTTTTGCCACTCCTTTTATTTATACCGAACTTATGAAATCTTGTTGGGAATCTGACCCAAAAAAAAGACCATCTGCCAGCTTTCTAGTTAAAACTTTTGATGATTGGATTCATAGTAAAAGGGAGCAATTGGTTACAATCTATAATTCCTTCCAAGATGCTGAAGATGAGCGAAAGAATTCAATGACTGATTCAATTATTTATATTCCTACTATTGACCAAACTAGTCAATTAATCTCTATTAAATAACCAACAGATGGACCAACAGAAGGTTAATATAAGTCTATTTTGATGAATATTTGATAAGTTGAAGTTGCATTAGAATTTGATTCGTGATTTGAATAAAACGAAAAAATTTTAGTACTAAATAGATAAATATACTGTATATATATAATTCTACTACCATACAAAAATACGACATTGATCACCCGATCATGCGGACAACGGCGTAGTAACTAGTAAGCTTTTTTATTACCAAATGTAGAAATTTATAAAAAATAAATTTAAACCTAGTTGAAACGTTTCTAGAACTAGAATAACCATCACCATTGCCATCATCATCGTGATTATCATGATTTTTCGTATTATTTGATCATCTTTTCGCACGAATTTTTAATATTTTATATCAGATTTTTTTGGTATCGGGACATTTCGCCGAAAGCCATTTTACCGAAAAATAATCTCTGGCCTGAGTTATTTATAATTCTGCATAATGTTGGCCCTATTTTTCGGCGAAACGTTCTTTCGGCGAAATGTACCGTAACCGATTTTTTTAATATATATTATATACTTTTTTTTATCGTTAAAGTTAGAATTGCATATTTTATTATGTTTATACATAGAGCATTACAAAAAACAAAATACATAGAGGTGACGTCGGACAATGAAAACCTATAGCTAACTAGTCTATCTACAATAAATAAAAAAGAAAACTACGCTAAGGACACCAGACGCCATCAAAAAATGCATAAAATATATACTAAATACAAAATAAAAAAAACTAATACTATATAACCTCAACTAACACCACTTAGGCTTAAAGCTTATGGTGCACAATCCGGACCTCAACTAGTGTCTGATCGATTCCCGTTGCCAACTCCCCACCGGTACGCCCACATACTTCTCGTAATCTTCGCAGCCGACTTTTCCCAAGCCAGGTCACAAACTGAGGCCAAACCCGTGGTTGATTCACGTTCGAGCACCCGCCAAGGATGTTGACGATCCATTAATCTAAAAGTTAGACAACCTCAAGCAAATGAACCCAACAATAATCCAAGGTCCGAAGTGATGGAAATGTATAATCGATGACGTCGTGCGATAATTATTATATACTGAAAAATCATTTTTTTTTGAATCACCTTTTTACATGAATTCTCAATATTTTTGGATCGGATTTTTAAGAATGATAAAAATTGAATGTTTAAAAATATTCATATAATAGCTTTTAAAAAGAATTTGTTTCATTTTTTTATGATAAATAGATGTAAACCCTGCATGTTAAAATTTAATTTTTAAAAAAATGAATTGGTCGCAAAAATATTGAGGTATTACATCATCAATCGATTGTAGAAGGATGAAACAAAGCTAATTAGAATCACCATAATAAGATGCATTGAATGGTGATATTTTCGTATCTTTAACTTTAATATCAGATGTAAAATTATTAAGAGATTTATGGGAAAAACTCATTCGTATCGAAGCTAGAGCTATGAAAACACCAACATTCAATGCGTCTATATTTACTGGGTGACCAATTATTGTGGTTTTTAGTGCAATGTATCAATGAAAATATAAAAAAAAAAAATTTTTAATGTGAGGTATATATAAAATTTATTTAAAAGTTTAATGTTAAAAAAACTTGGTTTAAAAATACTAAAAAATCATGTAAAAAGTTGAAAAAAATAAAAATAACAAAAAAATACAATAGTAAAACGTAGAAAAAAAATATAATTTTTCAATATATAATATATATAAAAAAAACTATTGAACTTGACGAAAAAAAAAAATTTAACATAAAAATATTAATCAGACCGAAAAATCACATGACAATTATACAAATATAATGCTCCTTAATACTATATTAATACTATGTTAATACTATTATATATACTATTCATCCTTATTATAAGTTATAATTAATCAACAATCTTCATTAAATTATAAGGATATTCAGATGACTGTAACTTACATATATCTTGAACTCTAATATTATGTAACTTAAATTCATTCACTTCATCTTTAAAACTATACAAATCTTTTTTATAAATACCCTTGATAGCTAAATACTTGACTCTTTTTTCCTTCATAATAAATTCCTTTGTATAATGTAAAATATCATATCTACCCATTTGCATTATCAATAATTTATTAATAAAAATATCTCGAGAATTTTCTAAGAATACTTTAAAATCACTTTCTTTAATATCAAGAATCAAATTTAAGTATTCTAATTTAGAAGGGAGAACATGACCTAAATTTTGTAATATCATTGAACTACTTGAAATAATACCTGATGATTGTCTAACTTCCAAAATATTGATTGAAAGATAATTAAGATATTGCTTAATATTCTCAATTAATTTAAAAACTTGATAAGGATCCTGATTTTCAAGTTCAGTAAATTTAAGATACTTGATATTTTTACAATATTTTAAAATGATTTCCGACAATTGTTGCTTTAATGATAGATCATATCTAAAGGATTCCCCTCCATACGCAAGATTTTCTATATAACAACCAGATTTTTGTAATAATAAATGTATTGGTTTAATTTGTAATATAGCCATTGTCATAAATAAAGTTTTTAATTTAAAAGGTTTAGTTAAATTAATAATTTGTTGAATAAAATTATCATCAAAAAAAGAACAATTAACAATATGAACAGATTCTAAAACATTTAATCTTTCAAATATTTTAAAACTTAAAGATCTCAAATCAATACGATAGAATATAATTGTATTTAAGGTATTTGAACAATTAAAATCTTCTGATAAAAATAATGATTTATATAAATTTAAATTATTATCCCCAAATAAAATTTTTTTTAGATTTTGATGTGATTTGATTATTTGTAATGTACTATCTTTAATTAGAGTATTAGGATTTCTATCATTATATTTAATACAAAGTTTTAAATTTTTAATATTATGAATGAAATTTTGATTCTGTAAAATTAATTCAAAAATAATTTCATAAATTTTGGAATATTGAGAATTATATTCAAGTTCAAGAGTATGTAAATGTATTTCATTTTCAATAAATATTTTAAATAATGATATACATATATCAGAAATTCTTTTATAATCACTGACAGTTAATGATAATCCCTTTGTATTTCGAATCCACCTTATAACAGACATAACAATTTCATATATATCCATATGTTTTAAAAATCCATAATAATTGAAGAGGAGTGTGTTTGAAGGTAATGAATTTTTAATAATTTTATCTTTTTTTAATCCTGTTTTTAAATCATCATTTAAATATTGTGAGTAAATTTCAAAATATTTATAATTATCACGAAATGAGAAAGGATTTTCCCATAATATTGGAGTCGCTAAACGACACCAAAATCTGTTAACTAAAATGCATGAATGTAAAGTTGAAAAATCATTACGTAATAATTTTATAATTTCATAAGTTAATTCGGGAAAATTATCTGAAAATATTTTTGAACATGACATTTTAAACGAAGAGAAAAAAAATAAAGAGGGTAAATTGTGTGTATCAACATTTACTATTGTACCGAATAAAATTTAAATTTTATCCAATGTTTGTCACACAATTTGTGTCAATATTTGTGGCAATTAATTTTGTGTAATACCACATGATTATTTGTCAATCAGCGATTGTCCTTCACTTAATTCTGGTCAAAATTATAATTGGCCAGAGTTTTTAAATTTTTAATTTGAATGATGGTAAGAAGAAGTTAAAAGTTATTATTTAATTAATGGAAAATAATAATATAAAGATCTATTCTATTCACAAAATAAACATAACCTGTATAATGCTAAAACTAAGACGGAAAAGTGATGTAGAATAGAATATTATTACAACAACGAGGTTATATTACGGTTATAGACTTATTACTCCTAGAATACTATGGAATATCGTGATAAATGAGTACAGAATCCCTGATAGGCTGATATTATCATAATACTAAAGAATATCTCATTGATAGATACTTTGAAAAAAAAAACCGAAAAAAAAAAAATTTTGAAATCCCGTGAAAAAAAAAATGAAATAAAGGAATGAAATAAAGTAAAAAATTTTTTCAGTTTAAAATTACCAAACCGAAAAAAAAAAAGTTTAAAAAAAAAATTGAAGTTTAAAAAAAATGGGCTAAAAAAAAATGAAAAAGAATCAACGTTCTGTTGCGGCCGATGGTCAATCGTATCAAAACGTTTACTGATAAAAAAAATCAGATCATAATTTAACCGGAACTGGAACACTGGAACATACACATGACCCCAGTCGTATATCACGCGTCTCACGTTACACAATTCAATTATTAAACGTCAAGGAATCTTTTTAGTTATATAGATATGCATAATCTATTAGTAGTTAAAAGGGTTATTTCACAAATAAAGAATTATGGCTACGTAATAAAAACCTTTATAAATCTCAAGACTATATTGAATTTATAAAACATCCAAATAATAGGACCCAGTAATATATATATATAGAGGTCAGGTGGTGAAAAAAATTTTTTACTATGAGCTGTACGCATTTTTTCAGGGCCGGAATTATGATAATGTCAGTCGGTTACTATAATGGGAAATAAAATTCTGACTGGAATTATCAAAAATTATCTAAAAAAGGAAAGATTTTCATGATTTTTTTTAGTTCAAAATACGCAAACTCAAACCTGACCTTTTTATATATATTTCTGGGTCCTCAAATAATCTTCACTTACCATGTTGGTTGTATTTTTTTTATATAATCATACAATTCATTAATTTGTTCAATCTCTCATTGTTACTAATAGATCATCTTTCTAAGGATTACTCAACGTTTGAGTTAACGTTACCTGAAAATGTTATCACGAAAGTTTGTATATTTTTAAATTTACAATTAATAAAATAATTATAAAAATTCATTAGATTATAAATTATAAGCGTGTTAATTACATCTAAGTTATATTCATAAATATCCTATTATTATTTATTATAACTTGTACTTTAATAATAAAAAAAATTTTTTTTTTAATAAATGATTTACATGAACCCAAAAGACGTAAATCGCTGATCAAAATTAACAATGGAGTTACATTTTAAAGCGCGATCGACATTCTAATTGAAGCATCCAGTTAATGACTTAATGTATTAGAATTATTATTAATTTTTGTTTTTGAAATAAATTAGCCTTAAAACGATGCGTTTAAGTTAAGAATATATTGGATGCCATAATTTTTTCTAATAAATTAACAAATGACGTTTAAAGGATTATTTGCTGAAAATCCTATGATGATCGAAGTCGGCGCAGAAAATTGATCTGCAGTACTACAATAAATAAATATGTTGTGAAAAATTAAAATTTTTTTTTTTAACCTTAATTTAATTTTTATCGTCGTTCACAACGTTCTATAATACTAAAATTAACAAATATAACGAATTAAATTTTCAAATGTCATCTCATATATTTCAAAATTTTGATAAAATAAATGAAATAGAAATTGAACCTATGATTCAAAATATTCATGAAAATATATTTGAAGAAGATTTAAGTATAGTAGTTGATGATTTAGTAAATTTTTATTTTAAGGAAATAAATGAAGGAAAGGATAAAAATGAAAGAAAAAAACATGTTCTTGAGTATATTAATAGTCGTAATATGAATATGCAAGAAATTTGTAATTGGCTTTTAAATAATCAAAATGATTCAAATTCTATTTATTTACTTGGATATTTTAATTTTTATGGTATCGGAATAAACGTTAATAAGCAAAATGCATTTGAATTATATAAAAAAGCAGTAGAAATTGAGAATAATGCAGCTCAATTTGATCTTGCAAATATGTGTATGGACGGAATTGACATTGATAAAAATCATGATAAAGCATTTGAATTATCTGAAAAATTAGCAAAAAAAGAATATCCAGGTGGAATAAATCTGTTAGGATATTGTTATGATATGGGAATTGGAACTGACGTTAATACACAAAAGGCATTTAAATTATATAAAAAAGCAGCAAAATTAGGAAATTCACATGGCATAAATAATTTAGGATGTTGTTATGAAGGAGGAATTGGAACTAATGTTAATAAACAAAAGGCATTTGAATTATATCAAAAAGTTGTACTTTTAGGACATAAATCTGGAATGAATAACTTAGGATGTTGTTATGATAATGGAATTGGAACTGATGTTAATAAACAGAAAGCATTTGAATTATATCAAATGGCAGCAAATTTAGGAAATGATGTGGCTCAATATAATCTTGCTTTAATGTATGAAAATGGGGATGGAATTACAGAAAATTTGAATCAAGCAATATATTGGTATAATAAATCTGCTAAACAAGGGTACCTTGGCGCTCAGAATAAATTAAAAGAACTTTTAAATGAATAGATTATATGATATTTAAATTTATTTATTTTATTATAGAGTTTAATTTAATTATATCAAATGTATGAGTAATTACATTTACAATCAATCGAAATTTAATGAAACAATATAATGTTGTTTTTATTTTTTCAAATACACTTTTTCGTTATTTTGATAATTTTTGAATCAATTATTGAATTAACAACGCCTAATTTTTTTATTTTTTACATTTTTAACCTCTTAAATCCCTTTGGTGATTATCATTTCGTTTCTATTAATTTAGATTTTTCTTAATTTATAAATATTTGATTATTGGGATCTTAACTTAATAAATGATTTACATGTCTATGTGTATGTACACAGTGACGTAGAAAGCCGCGGAAAATGATCTGCGGTACTACAGTTATTATAAATAAATATGTTGTGACAAATTAAATATTTTTTGTCTTGTTTTTATTTTCAATTCTGAAATGTCTGATAATACTAAAATTTACAAATTAAACTCTAATTTATCAAGTGAAAAATTATCTCAAACTATTATTCAAAATTTTGATGAAATAAATAAAAAAGAAATTGAACCTTCAATTCAAAATATTCATGAAAATATATTTGAAGAAGATTTAAGTATTGTAATTGATGTTTTGACAAATTCTCATTTTAAAGAAGTAAATGAAGGAAAAGATTATAATGTAAGAAAGCAACATGTTCTTGATTATATTAATGATCATAGGATAAACTTACAAGAAATTTGTAATTGGCTTTTAATTAATCAGAATGATTCAAATTCTATTTATTTGCTTGGATATTTTAATTTTCATGGTATTGGAATGGTTACTAATAAGCTGAATGCATTTAAATTATACCACAAGGCAGCAGAATTAGAAAACAGTGCAGCTCAATTTGATCTTGCCAATATATATATAGATGGAATTGATATTAATAAAAATTATGATAAAGCACTCGAATTATCTAAAATATTAGCGAAAAAAGAATATCCAGGTGGAATAAATTTGTTAGGATATTGTTATGATATGGGAATTGGAACTGAAGTAGATACACAAAAGGCATTTGAATTATATGAAAAGGCGGCAAATTTAGGAAATTCAAGTGGATTAAATAACTTAGGATGTTGTTATGAAGGAGGAATTGGAACTTGTGTTGATAAACAAAAAGCATTTGAATTATACCAAAAAGCAGCAGATCTAGGAAATGCAAATGGAATAAATAGCTTAGGGTGTTGTTATGAAAAAGGAGTTGGAACTGAAGTTAATGTACAGAAAGCAATTGAGTTA